TGGACATCTTGACATAAGACACTATCGAGGGATATCGATTGATAGCCGATGATTTTAGAGGATTTTAGGTTCAACAGCACTACTTCTTCAGTGTTACGGTCCGCAACTCGATTACAATGGTGTGCACCAAAGCCGATAGTTTTAATCGATATTTATCGATAGCCCTTACGAAATCCAGACTCAAAACAACGGAACAATCCATCCAGAGCACGTTGTACGTTGGGGATGCCCTGCAAAAGGGAGGGGGTAACATTTGACCCCTGGAGAGATGAAAGGGGAGGGGGCGGCAATAGTTTTCAAGATAAAAGTTTTCGCTCGTTTACTTCCCTCGGTTTCACGTGTGCTCTATGCTCCCAACCCCCTCCGCTCCACGCAGCTTTTTCTGGGGATTTACTGGAAAATTTCGCGGAGAAGTGCTAGGAAGTTATGAGATTTTTGGGAGATCGTACGTTGGACGGGAAAGGGGGAGGGTTCTGACAGAGGAAGCAATATTGAGGGGTGAGGTCATCTTTTGCGAAAATTTCCCTAGCGGTAGGTCGTGCTCTAAATTTATCGCATTTCTTCCTACTTCTTCACTCACTAATTTGATCTACGTATACTCGAGATCCCTGAGATCGGGTAGGCGGGGCTGCATTCTTCAACTTAACCTGAAGGTGTCTATGCTTCTGGTGGAATATTTCCATCTTGACACAACTGTTGTCGTGTCTCTGTCCAACACAGAACAAGATGACAGTTGTCCCAGACTGGAATATTCCACGAGTAACCAGTTCCGTGCCATGTTCAAATGCCACGCCTACTCTGGCTCGGGATAAGGAGTGTATGTCTAGTGACACCTCATGAATACAATATCGAATATAGAGCGCATTTCGCTTTGGTGGGGGCACCAAATGGTACTTCAAAGCTTATACAGATTACTTTGCTAAGATCACTTCACTCGAGCCATTTTGCAGCTTCACAAGTAATTATAGATCTCACCAAGATAATGCTTGCTACTCAACCTGAACTAGCAAAAGAAAGTGACAAGAGTGCAGGAGCATACCTCCCTTTCCGTGAGCTGCCTACCTCCCCCCCCAAGCCGATAGTGCCGAATACAGATTATTTGATTCCATAACAATTATTAATTGTGAATCTCCAGAACTCTATTTCCTCATCATCCCCATTGGGATTTCAACGAGCTTCTCCTGACAAAAGTGCATTTCACCAACATGATGAGTAGCAATTAATTTGGAGATTGTTGATTTTCTTCGAAAAAAATAATATTCGTGAAACTTGTGGTATTCCCTGCACTAGCAAATGATAAACGCCCACGTGAAGTTTCTGAACGACACATCTACCATGCAGTTCCTCCATCAAAGCACAATCCACGCTTCCCTGTGGTGTGCTAGTGGAGTCGATAGTCGCAGTGCGCCCTACTCAGTGGTGCGCTCAGCCTTTTAAGGTAGACTATTAGGCCCGCCTCAACCCATACGACCAGCGTGGACTTAGCCTTCAATATAACCAAAGTCGAGATATTTTCAGCTTGCAAACGTGGTTCACCTCAATACCTCACCGGCAATGCACACAACGAAGACGAGCCGATCTCACAACTGCCAGACAGCTTCCACTTGTGTTTTTTGTTTTGTGGCTGGTTGTGTTGTTCGAACTTCGAGTGTACATGCAATGTTCCGGATGCAGGATGTCTGTCCAGACGTGCGATCAATTGTAAGTAAGCTGGAGGACGAGCCTATGATGTATGGTCGGATACGCAACTTTGATCGCTGTGTCACAGAAATAGAGAGCTTCCAGTCCTCTCATCGCCCACCTTCGAAGCAGTTGTGTAATTCTGAAAGCCCTCATTCTAATTATCGAAGGACTCTATTTGTGGTGCGCGGGTCGTGTAGCAGAGCATTGCGGGGCTGCGGGTCGGCGGAAGGCGACGCAAACGCGCAAGACACGGTGACGGCCTGCCTGCTTAGTGGGGTAGGTGTCATTTCCGGCCTGTCCGCGATACGCACCCACACGTCGCGAACAGATTTATGGTGCTCTAGAGTGCAACTAGTAAGTAAAATGAGACTCCCAAAACTGCCAGCGAGACACTAGATACACTAGCTGGCAGAATCCGCGACGTCGCCTACGCGGAGGCGCGCGTGGCGGACGAGAGCGGCGGAGTATGGCAATGCCCGCGAGTTGGAGATATGACTGGGCGGGGACGCGGCCGAGTTTTTTATTTTTGGTAATGATGACTGTTGTTTGACGCCACAGCTCGCGCTCTGAATGTCATCTCAAAAGTACTGAGGGGACAAAAATCTGACCCCATGAGGAAATCGGAAAGGGAATCGAATGATCACCTCACGCTTACCGGGCGACTGCGGTACCCGTTACGCGACCAGGGCTGCTTTTCCCCTACGACCTCAGTTTGTTTGCTTGCCAGAGCCTTACAGCACGCCCGCAATTTCTTATAGGTGTCTGAACTCATCAAATAGATATTAATGTGGACCGCAATGAACAACCTTGTACGTGTTTAGCGCTAGAAATTTGTAAGACAAGGGTGTTAAAGCTGCTCAACTGACCCCGCCCACACTGGTAGATATCGCATCCTTGTTTTGCCCGTTCGCATGCTCTCTCGCGGAGCGTTGACGGCATACTTCTTACTGGATAGGTAGTCTGGTTTGGAGCGAATTCCTGTTCACCAAAGTGGATTGGTTCAAAAAAAGATCACTCGTAGGCCCCTATGTTCGAAGTCCACCCACTTCGCAGTACGAGTTATGCCGCTGAAGGACTTGTACCGCCTTATAAACTGAATCCCTTCCAGATACTACTATGACGCGGAACAAGGCCGATGTATAGCGTTCACCTACAACGGCGCTCTCGGCAACTACAACAACTTCAAGTCATCAGCTGATTGTGAACTGTTCTGCGCTAAATTGCAATGCAAGTACGGTACACCTTTGAAGATCGGTGCCACCAACCAGCGTTGCAGTACGAATGCGGACTGCCCCAGCACTCACGAATGTCAAAGCGATCACAACGTCTGCTGTCCACGACCTCGTGAGTTTCCCTTGAGAAATTGACATTTTGTTACATATTCCTACCAAATAATTGTGCTAGACAAATGCCGGGATACCGTCGGAAAAGAAAGTTCCCACAAAACCATTAGCACCAGGGTTTAAAAGGAATTCCGCCGTAATCGAATGGGCGGGGACCCACCATTTAGCGCCGTTGACGCACCTTTTTTCTTTAGCATACCCGAAGTGTGAGCAAGCAAAGTACGGGGGTCGTGCTTCTCCGCCCATTTGCTAAACCAAATTTTTAGCCGAATATTCGAGAACGCCGATGCACAGTAATGTTCGCTGCGAATGCTAGGGCGTTTGAGGTTGGCTGGAATTGACGCAGCGCCAGGCTATTTTTCACCGCTTATTTTCGTTTGTTCGCTTCAGGAAGTGGTGGAGAACGGGCTGACGCACTTCCGAAACACTTATCAAAAAACCAATCGTTCTGATTTGCCCGGGCGTCCACAGCGAAGAAGACTCTAGTTGGAGAAGGTGGGTGGCGTGTTACGGCTCCACTGGGATAGCGAACACTTCCCCTAACAGCTTCTGCACTCTACCAGAACTGACAGAGCCTAGTCCCATGTCCCCACCCTCTCTCCCTCAGCTGACGAGCCCA